CCTAGTAATTAAAGAGTAGTAGTACATTAATATAGGCATAATAATTATTTAATATATTTAAGTACTTTAAGTAGGAAAACTACTACTGGAGCTACACTATAGACCTATTTATAGAATATTAATATATAGTATAAGCTAAGTAAAACCTAGAAGTAAGAAAATAAAGGTAAAATACAAAAGTAAAAAAGAAAAGAAAAATAGGAATAAAGTAAAGAGAATAGTCTTAGCCTATCTTAACCTAGAGCGTAGTATAAGAAGTAGTGTAGGATAGACTATTCTAACCCTCCTTAGTAGAGCTGTTTTGTACTTAAGGGGAGGCAGTACTTCTATATATATAGGCCTACTATAGCAGTATAGGCAAGGTAACAAAAGTAGTTAAATAAATTATATTATTATATTACTTATAATAATTTCAGGCTACTAATAATTAGTAAGGAGTAGTTTAATACTTTTACTATTATATAATAACTTTATATAAGTTAACTTAATAAAGTAAAGTATATTAAAAAGCCTAGCTAAGTAAAGTAGCTTATAATTAGGGTACTAAATATAAATAGGTAAATAGTATTTATTATAGAGGCACTGTTTAGGTAACAAAGATTATAAAGAAGACAGGTTAATTATCTATAGTATAGAGATAAGTAATTTAGCTTAAAGAAATATATACCCTTTAAGTAGGTTAGCATTATAAGTAGGTTAAGGTAACTAACTATAGAATAAAGCAAAAGCTTTAGTAATAATATACCTATATTATTATTCTCTGTTTTACACTATATAGTTACGCTAGCTAGCATCTTAACTAGTTAGGCTATAACAGTTAGTAGTATAGAGATAATGATTATTTTAAAATAGCTATTTCTTTAGTTATAAGTAAATTAATAGCTATCTTTTAGTATTTCAATAGCTCTCTAGCTACTACTACTATAGTATACCTCAAAATATATTTTATTACCTTAACATATTTAACTAACCTAAACCTTAACCTAGACCCTAACTACCTTAACTACTAACACTATATATTTTCTTATATATAAATTAAAAGATATATAAGGTTATTAGTTAAGATAGTTAGTAACACAGCCTTCCTAGCAGTTGTTATAGTTCTAACAAGATAGAGCTAGGCTATAATAGTGACATAAAGTAACGCAGTGTAAAGGCAAAGCATAACAGCAGAGCAGTAAAGCAAGATAAGTAATAACAAAGAGCTAAATAACATAGGACAAGATAGGTAATATATAGGAGGTGTATTTATAGTTGACTATTCTCTGTAAAGGGTTACCTACTGAAGGGATATATACCTAGGGCATATGTGACGTGTTACGTGTGCGTTAGGTATCTAGTCCTTACTATCTATCTGTCTCCTAACTATAGGCACTTACTACCTTGTCTTATAACAGTTAGGTTCTAGGTTAAGGTCTAGGTTAGTTAGTTAGATTAAGGCGATAGAGTAAAATTTAGTATTCTATTAAGACTAACTAGAATAGATAGTAGACTTACTAAGATAGGCTTAGAGGGCTGTTAAAATACTAAAATGTAGCTGTTATTTTGCTTATAACCATGTCTTTAGTCTAAAGAAATTAGCTAACTAGAGTAAGATATACGTGATATATATAAGGGTATTATAATAGTAATTATTATTAATATAAGTAAACTTTTAGACTAAGGGAATAATATTAAGTATATTAGTTTTAGTATATAAAACATAAATAAATAAGTACTAATTATTAATAATATAAGTAAACTTTAACACTAAGACGACTATTTAGTAATAGTTAACAGGCAGACATATTATAAGGCAACACCTAAATTATTAAAGTACTTTCTAAAGTCTCTTGCTTGTCCTATAAAGACTAGAGTACAGACTAACTTATCCTTTTGCTATAGAGCAGAATAAGAAAACAATAATATCTCTATTAGCCTAAAATATATATAAAATATAGTAATATAAATTAACTTTTTACTAAAATTTACTTGTAAAAAACAGTCTTATATAATTTATAACATAAATAGCTAGGGCTATAGTATATACTAATTAAATATTTTACTAGGGTGTTAACTTAGTACTGTATCCTCTTGACAAATCCAACATCTGCGAACTTCTGCGCTAACTAGGAAGGATATCGCCGCTACTATACTATGGTATGACAGGTAAGTTTAAACTCTATAACAGGTAGTGTGGAGTTGTGACCTACGTATGAGAGACTCTCATTGGCTAGAATTATAATAGATGTGCATAAGAACCTCAAAGTACCGTCGCTGAAATAATCAAAAAATCACGGCCACATTTACCTGACGAGGGGGTTAAACTTTGGCCTGATACCATAGTATGCAGTAGTATAGTCCACTGCACTATACCTATCACAGAAGGCAGTCAATCTCAAGCAGAAGACGTCTAGTAACTATAACAAGCCTGTTTGCTGGTCCTTTGCTCACTTCCTATGTAATTTGCCTCTGGCGTACATGATGATCCCCTACTTTTGCTACCGCTAGATCCCTGTTACTGCTAGCAGATCATACCTCTTACGGCGGCCGCTATACCCCTTTTCGTTAGCCTAGAGGTTAGCAGATGTCGGATTTGCCGAGAGGATACAGTACTGTAGACTCTTGTTAAATCGAATAACCGCTAGTGAGCATCCTAACGGTAAGGGGTATAGCGGCCGCTGTAATAGGTGTAGCGTGCTGGCAGAAACAGAGATCAGATACGGTTAGTCACGTACAGGGTGGCAGGGGTAAGTTTTTTCCCCCTATGATGTTATCCCCCATAGCTGACATCATGATAGAGGGGAATATTCACCAAAAGTAAAGTTCTGTAGTAGGGGGGTGAGCATTAGTTACCTAACAGGGGGAAAAAACTTCGGCCGATACCATCGTACGTCAGCAGGAAGTCAGGGTGCAAACCTGGCTGGCTGGGTACGTGGGTGGGTGGGTTGGTGGTTTGACCGCCTTCTACCTTAGGCTTAACGCAGTGGATATACGCTAACTATTATTGGCTAGCTTGCTTACTAGCGGTTATTCGATCTAACGAGAGTCTACGGTAGTTAAAGGTTTAAAGTTAGTAGTGTAGGGACAGAAGGGAGGATAGTACTTATAAGGAAATAGGTTAGTACTTTAACGTGCTAAGGTTTGACCCACAATGTTTCTGCCTGTTTACTATAACTAACTATTTCAAGTATATTGGCTTTAGTGTACTAAACATAAATAAATAAATAGTAATTATTATTAATATAAGTAAACTTTTAGACCAAGAGGACTGTTTTAAGTATGTTAGTTCTAATTAGGTGTTCTAGAAGACCCTGTTCATGAAATGTATTTCAAGTTCGGCAAGTCCGGCTAGGTGCCTAATCTCTGTGTGGGGTCCTACACCCTAGGAACTCTATCTTACTACTAATAGTCGACCTTTTATCCCCTGCTTAGGACAGCCTCTGCCCCTTGCGTGGCGGGCCAGCCACTTAAGATCATCTGTAATAAGTAGAACAGGGTTAAACCATAGTGCAGGTAGACAACACAAAGCGTGCTACCTGTGTACGTGGTGCCTGTGTAATTTGCATCCTTAGCCTGCTTAATATAATGTTTTACAAAGTTTAGTTTACAACATGTTTCTTCTATGCACCTGAATTAGTAAAACAGAACCGACTTGTAACCAAGGCTCTTGATTGTCCATCCAAAACCAAGGCTGAAGAGCTGCTGGCATGCTGTAGCTGGGTTTTTGCCTAGTGTCTTTAGCGTTGTATAGCCATTGGGACGGCGGTTTAGTTAACGTAGTCTTGTTGGCGTGCAGGTGCTATATCTAGATGCCACAAAGAATATATAATTCTACTGCACGGGATTAAAGTATAGGATAGCCGGCCTTAAATTTAGATAAATGTTTTCTAATTTTAACACTTACTATATAGATGCTAATATGCTTCTTTATGGATTCCTCTTAGGGCTGCTGTAATTAAAAGAAGAGGTTCGCGCGCAGATGTGGGGAAGAGTATGTAGAGGAATGGGTTTAGCTGAGATTACAAGACAACTACACCTTATGCAAACCCCTGTTGCGTAAGTCTTCCCTCTTTTTCTCCTACTGCTTAGTACAGTAGGTATCGCGACGCCGAGATTTAAGCGAAAACTATATATTATCCTATATAAGTTATCCCTTTGGACTCAACCTAGTTTTACCACCATTCGCTAGACTGCACACAGGATCGACCTGCTTGTCGCCTGCCCCTCCCTCTGTTGTCACCCGTTGACCTTTCGCTCGTTATTGTCCTTAACATCAACCTATCTCTAAGATGCGCTTTGTATACTCGCTCCTGGTACTTCTATGGTCGCTATCCTCCGCGTTTGCCGTCCCGTTCAGACTGCCATGGAGAAAAAAACCCATGCCAGAACAGCCAGGCGGTCCATACAGCCCAGGCGGTCCATACAGCCCAGGCGGTCCATTCAGCCCAGGCGCTCCATTCAGCCCAGGCGCTCCATTCATCCAAGGCGGTCCACCAGGCGTACCAAACAACCCTGGCGTACCACACGACCCTGACGTACCAAACAACCCTAGCGAACCAAACAACCCTGGCGTACCACACAACCCTAGCGAACCAAATAACCCTAGCGTACCACACAACCCTAGCGAACCAAATAACCCTAGCGAACCAAATAACCCTGGCGTACCACACAACCCTAGCGAACCAAATAACCCTGGCGCACCACACAACCCTGACGTACCAAACAACCCTAGCGAACCAAATAACCCTGGCGTACCACACAACCCTAGCGAACCAAATAACCCTGGCGCACCACACAACCCTGACGTACCAAACAACCCTGGCGTACCTAATAACCCTGGCGCACCATATAACCCTGGCGCACCATATAACCCTGGCGCACCATATAACCCTGGCGCACCATATAACCCTGGCGACCAATATAACCCTGGCGGGGGATATGATGGAGGCAGCTCAGGACGCAGACCTATGCCTTACTTGGGAGATATGATACCACCAACCATCCCAATCCCAATGCCAATGCCAGGAGCAGGAGGATTCGGCGGTGGAGGATTTGGTGGATTTGGTGGTGGTGGATTTGGCGGTGGTGGTGAATACGGCGGTGGTGGTGGATACGGCGGTGGTGGTGGATACGGCTCAGGTGGTGAATCCGGGTCAGGTGGTGAATACGGCTCAGGTGGTGAATCCGGGTCAGGTGGTGAATCCGGGTCAGGTGGTGAATCCGGGTCAGGTGGTGAATCCGGGTCAGGTGGTGCATCCGGGTCAGGTGGTGAATCCGGGTCAGGTGGTGAATCCGGGTCAGGTGGTGCATCCGGGTCAGGTGGTGCATCCGGGTCAGGTGGTGAATCCGGGTCAGGTGGTGCATCCGGGTCAGGTGGTGCATCCGGGTCAGGTGGTGAATCCGGGTCAGGTGGTGCATCCGGGTCAGGTGGTGCATCCGGGTCAGGTGGTGCATCCGGGTCAGGTAGTGAATCCGGGTCAGGTAGTGAATCCGGGTCATCTACGCAAGGGGGGTCGACCGCGCCGAGCGACTCCACTACGCCAGAGGGCCCAACCGCGTCAGGCCAACCAACTGTGCCAGGCAAGCCGACTACGCCAGGTGCGCCCACCACGCCAGGTGCGCCCACCACGCCAGACGGCCCAGCCGACTCAACTGATTCAAGCGACCCAGATGGACCAACCCCGTCGGCAGCGCCACCCAAGCCATCTAAGCCGAAGCCAAGCGGACACTAGGCAAGAATTCTTTTAGAAAGGCCAGGGATATTTATAATCTTGCTTTTAAAAAAGCACCGCCACCAGCGCCGACTGTGTTACACCTAGGACAAGCTTGCTAGGACTAGGTGAACAAACTAGCTTAACACTATTAAAAATACCAGGTCTTGTAGTACCTTTTTATGGCGTTATAGGAGCTTTATAGTATTTCACTAGGACTGGAATTTCTAGAGTACTACTTAGGATATATTTTACTAGCTAAGCTTATGTTGTTTTATAGAAAAAAACTTAGGCTACTTTACTTTAAATGTTTAGACAGCCTTAGCTCCCTCTTGACTTTTTAATAAGATTCTTTTACTATCTCTCTTAAGTAATAAATAACCTATAAAACTAGTGGATATCTATTAAATATGGTAAAAAGTATATATAAATTTACTAGTGAATACACAGTTGCCTTATAGTAAATCGCTTAGGAATAAGCAGTAAAATTGCCTTACTTTAATAGTAATTTTACTAATAATATTACTAATATTAATCTAGATAATAGAACTTAAGTCTTAAACTGCGTCCCTACAGCTAAAACTCAACAATGCGACATCGACATTGCTGTCCTAACGAACTTATAATTCCACTAACTGGCTGCCCCGTTCCCATGCCCAACACACTCTTGAGTCCTACCGCAAATCCATCACATGCGTTACCTTTTATCCCGTCTTCTTAGTCCTTACCTCGGGATCTAAGGACTGCACCGTTAAGGTCTGGGACTAGGAACTAGGCGAACTTAAGAAGACTATTAAGGGGCACACCAAAGTAGTGACCGATATCGACTTTAGAGGACGGCAAGGGGCTACGCTGCTAGCTTCATACTCAAATAACTTAACAATTAAACTATAGGATCCTTCAGATAACTACAAAAACATTTAAACATTTTCTGGCTACAATTATAGCGTAAGTACCGTTAGGTTCGTCCCCTCGGGAGCTACTAGCGCTCCAGGCTTGAGTAATCTTCTCGTTTTAGCTAGCCGCAACAAGATACTACAAATTTGGGACGTTCAACCGGCTACTGTGTTAAGACACTACAAGGGCATACAGACTAAATTCGTAATGTTTACCTATCGCCAGATAGCTACTTCCTTCTCTTGGTTGGTGACAACTATATAGGGCGGCTCTAGGATAATAGCGTGACAAATCCTAAGGTAAAGCTAATACTTATCCGCCACGAACATATTATAACATATTGTATACTTGCACCACCTACTACGTATATCTATCTAGCTAAACTTACAGGCTAGGAACCCCTGCTCGTAACAAATACAGCCGAGTTCATGGCAACAGGCAGCCGCAATAAGACGATTTGTCTTTAGGACGGTAGGGGGAATTATATTAAGACCTTAACTGGCCACAACAACTGGGTGCGGGCCCTTATGTTTCACCCTAGCGGCAAGTACCTGCTGAGTATGTCCGATAATAAGACATTAAGATGCTAGGACCTCAAACAAGGGGGCAAATATATTAAGGTACTTAGCGACGCACACAGTCGTTTTGTCTCGTGCTTGCGTTGGGCACTAGGCATAGCTCGCGAGGCGGCTACCAAAGGTGAGGGACAGAAAGGTATCAAGACAATAACAAGAAAGATGTCTAAGAAATCACATAACATTTAAATCCAATGCGTCATTACAACCGGGAGTGTTGACCAGAAAGTGCGTATCTTCGCTAACTGACGCACCTTGGGCGATGAAACTCAAAACATAGCTGGTATAGAAACCAAGGCTCCCACCCATGTCACATTCAGGGGAACAATATGTTTCAACATCAAGTGCTCGGGGCAGAAGGAGTGTAAACTCACGGCGTATGGTTTATGAGGAGCAATGGGCAAGCGGGAGGGGCAGACGCGGAAGGATCAAATTAGGAATTACCTGTCTACGCTGTTTTTTGAAGTTATTGCAGTCCTTGATATTGAGACGCAATTATGCGTTTCCAACAGTCATGGCAAGAATAAAGAGTTACCAGTGTTGGAACAACCCGCCAGAAACCTAAGGAGTAAGTAGCATAGAAGTAGCTAAGGGTACTTTCAGCCACAGCTAGGAATCATAGGGAACTACTAGCTATTCCTAGCTAATAGCATTATAGAGATTTCGCCGTACTTTAACGGCGACATCTAAGGCAGTTCGTGTATCACAAACTTCCTCCCTTCTACTCTTTAAGCAACTAGATACAACTAGAATTAAACTACTGCTTCACCCCTTTGAATACTGTAAATGTACCGTATTATATCACGCCTGTAATACCAACAATTTCTCCTAGAATTCAACATTACATTATCTATAGGTAGCTAGGTCATATATATGATCTAGATATATAATTTAATACCTAATATCTTATACAAGAGCGTATAGCTAGCTTCTCTCTAGAAGACTAAAGGAAACTAATCACACCTTAAGACCAACGTAAGAATTCTAAGATAAATATAGGTAGATAGATCTAGAGATTCTTAGACCTAAATAGAAGAGTGCATATAGACAGGAGGTCTTGTTCTAAAGATATAAGGAAATGAGTGTATATTTTATATGTATGAAGAAGTGTTGATGTTGCTTCTGGGTTGCCTTTCTGTATGTATAGGTAGTTTCCCCTTTTTATACCCCTGTTGTCTAGCTTTGGTTGCCCAGACCAGCCCAACCCATCACAATATCTATATTTAAATAGTCTTATCTAACAACTAGGTATAGAAACCTATCCTAGGATTACTATAGCTACTTAGCACCAAGGTGGGGGCCAGTTAGGATAACCATATACACCCGGGTAACCATATACACCAGGGTGACCATATACACCAGGCTGACTATTAGTAGGATAATTATTAGCAGCATCGCTGCCACCTGATCCCTGAGCTAGTAATCGCCTCGCGATTTTATATTTTGGCTCGTCTGCAGTCATATCGACTTGCTTTGCAGCATTAACGGGGTTGGCTTTAACTTCAAGGGCAAAAAACATGAAGTTATCCGCATTCCGGATCATTTCAGAGTCCGTAATAAGCAAACATCTTTAATAATTAACCAATTAGTTAGTAATAAGCTTAGAACTCTCCACCTATTATTAAATATTATACTGAAGTCAGGGTGAGTTTACTTACTGGTCTGCTGTATAAGCAATATCGTCAGTCTCCCATGATGACCCAACTACACCAGGAATGTGTGTCATTTCATGAAGTAATGTTTCTGCGTTAGTAAGACTACGAGTACGCAAATCTCTCCATCTTCTGAATTCTTCTTCGTAGTTAGAACGCTCCTCAAAGAAAGACGGGCATAGCATAACAGCGCCCCTACTTGGTTGGGTCATAGCCCGGGTGTCATCGCAATCTGGTTCAGTATGCAGGCTAGGGCAACCAAGGACCACAGCATTGCTTCCAGCATCTAGATTGCCCACATATGCTTTGGTTTCGTCGCCAAGGTCAGATATACTATCATAGACATTTCTTCGAATAGAATTGGCTGTGTCGCGGTTTGCGTTGCTAGCTAAATTAGGGCTTATGTTAATAAAAACCCCTAGGAAGTAAAGATAGAAAAGGGCTATATTACCCCCAAACCATGCGATATACGCTGCAGTTGTCTGTGAATCATCCTCCAGTAAAAAGTTGTATGCAGAGACTGCAAGTTTCCTCATCCAAGCAAGGTCATTGTCGATGTGTGACACTTGAGAGTCGCTGCAATAGTAGGGATCATCTTTGCCAATATTTCCACCCACTACAACTATTCGATCCAGGCTACTTCGCTTTTCAAGCGCATGAGAAGATGTAGCTTTTAACGAATGTGAGGGTAGAGACATAGCTAGGGTATTGACCTGCACCAAAGATACGAGGAGAGCGAGAATGGACCGCATAATGAAAGTTTAAAGTCTTAGAACAGTAGAAACGGGAATGCAAGAATGAGGCAGGAGCAGCTAATTAACATAATAGAATAAGAACTTAGCACTCAGCCACTCTACATTCCTTATATACCTTGATTAGGGTAGCTATTTAAATATTAAAACAACGCTCTGGCCTCAGGCATGTATAGTACTTCCTAACTACTATAATAGTATTACACGCCTATAGAGAGGTTCTATATAATAGACAAGGAAATAAATAAATAGAAATTTTATAATAAGCTAATTAATTATCTATTTCCTATAGTTAAAGGTCTAGTAAATTACTATTATTATAGTACTTTATATACTATTATATGTTTTATTTACTCTTACTATAAAATCTATAGGATAAATAGGTTGTATCTAGTAAAGCTATATAAAGTAATATAGTCTTAGCTACTATTAATTCAAGAGTTACTAATTTATATTTTAGTTAATAGGCTAGATATTAAGAACTAATTAGATACCTAGGAAACCTTAGAACCCTAGAATATAAACCTATAATTATTATAGCCTTATCTGATAAGATAGTATACTATTAATAGATATATGTTACGACCTAACAAGTTACAGGCGATATTGCCCCACTAGGCACCAGGAAGCGCGGGCGGCACAGCCTTTGATTGATTGATTGATTGATTGATTCCTACTCGGTTTCAGCCGCCTTAGCCAGCAGCTATGCCCGGAAAGCAAGGTTTGGCCAACAGCCGACACGCCGACGAGGAGTCGCGACGCCCCACTTCGCCCTGGTGTTGAACCAAGGCCAGCTGTTTCCAAATTCCTCGCTGCACTATCTATCCTGTGTGTTGATCTCTCTGTTGAAGAGTCTCTTTCCGCTGCCTCTTTTCCTAGCCGTTTTCTTTCTTGCCTTTAGATTTCCTCTTTCGTCTCTTCTTGCTTCGGCTCTGTTAGTGCTTGCCACCGTGTGCGGTTCTGCATACCTCTAGTCTCCCCCTGGCGCTTGGCTTGTCTGTTTCTCTTGTCCGTATCCTCTTAGACTTATATGTACTGTTTCTTAGTTAATCTGTAAGTCCTTTTGTTACCTACTGCCAGGTTCCTATGTGGCCTTGTATTTTCTGTCTGTTGACCACTATTGCCATCCACCACTTTGGCCTAAGTTTCTTCCATGAAACACAATGCTCCACTGACTCCGGCGTGTTCGATTACTGGGTATGAGAGCTCCCTCACAGATTCCGCAGACATTGCCGTGCGTTGAAGGGACACCAATCCTTCGCTGCAAATAAGGTAGCATGCTATAAATACAAGAATAGCATAAGTTAGTGTAGTTGTGCAGTACTTAGTCGTTTTAGTAAACCCGCTTTTTATTTATATTTAGAGACTTAAGGCTTTTAGCTTAGCTTTATACCTATAGTACTAGGTACTAGGTAAGGGTTAGAAGTGTAGTAAGGTCAAATAGTGAATAACACTAGGGTTAGGATGGGCTTCTAAGAGGTTTTAGGATTTTAGCAAGAGGGAAAGGATTAATAAGATAGAAAGGCTAGGTAGTAAGGATGTTAAGAGGACTAGAGCTAAGGGCGAGAAGAGGGGAGCAATGTGGAGATACAGAAAGTTAGCTTAGATATACACACACAAACACACACAATTTATTACGCCCGGTGGCAAAGCCGAAAGGGCCACTAAAGCTGACTACGTGTACAGTGTATCTTAGATATAGTGCAGCCAAAAGTAACATCTGCCTAATATGTTCAAGATAAATCAATTAAACAACACCCAATAGTGTTAAAGTACGTATATACGGCGATAATCCTTGTTTAATTAATTGATGATATGTGTGTGTGTTTTTAGGCCAAAGTTGCCCCCTATTTCCAGTTGCCTTAGGCAAATGCACGTGTCATAGGATTTCCCTTGTTTTAGGTGGGGAACCCCTATACACGGAATGCACCCGACATTTACCCCGCGGGTCCGACCGGGTACCCCACTTTATCGTCCCATCTGTTGCCTATACTTTAACAGATAGGGGCTTCGGAAATCACCAATAATACAGAATATAATAAGCTTTTTGCTACCTAGGTCTATACGGGCTAATAAATTAGATTAACTTAGTCATGCATTTTGATAAGAATAGGTAACATATACTTTAGATAGCTATAGTTGCCCCTTTAGCTTTGCCGTTAGATGTAGTAAATTCTTTTTATAGATTTAAATACTTAAATAACTACCCTAATTAAGGCGTATAAAAACTATATAGCACCTGTGTACTCTGTAACGTATTTCTTGTTCTTTTTATGTTATAGTCCCCTACAATTTCCTAAAATTCCCTTCCCTATTATTAAGGCTTTTAACTTCTTTAGTCATGCAGATATATGCTGTTCTCACTTTTCTTGCATTTTCAGTACAGGCTAGTGCAATAGCCCTATCGCCAAGCTCCCCTTCGTTGAACGCCACACTTTCTTACTGGCTTGCAAAGAGAGGTTATGTGCAGCAAGTAGTAATAGTTGGCGGACGGACCGGCGCACACAGCAACTGGCATTACAGCAGTTCTCAAGTAGCAAGGATTAATAATAACCTTTTATAGATGCGAAAACTTGCAGCTGCTGCATTTAACTTTTTACATAACGAAGACTCTAAAATAACTGCAGCATACATCACATGGTTTAGAGGTATAACCTACGTCTACTTTTGCTTCCTAGGGGCTATATAAAAGCTAGCTAACACAGCGCTTAAACTAGCTAGTAATATAGATTGTAAAACAGCTAATACTATTAGAAGGAATATCTATAATAGTATATAGGAACTTAGTAATAAAACTAAAGTATACGTAAGTAATTTAGAATCTAGTAGTGATTCTGTAGTCCTAAGCTGCCCTAACCTATATACTAAACCTGTTAGTATACAGTAGGTATGCTCTAGGGAGGTAGGTCACGTAACATTTACGTAACACACTGCCTCCCTTAGCAGTATCTACTATCCCCCTGCCACAAGGGATATACCACCACTAGGTGCTAGAAGTCTAGATACACTACACATAAATAATAACAACACTACTAAGATCCTAATTTATACGTATATATAAGGTAGGATATCCCTCCTTTTGTAATTAAACTAACACTAATTAGTGCATAATTAATTATAAGATCACTACTTTTAATAGATTAGTAAGGTTCTTTTACGTAGAGCAGAGAGGAATCTACAGCCTATTAGCGTAGATCCTCTACAACATTAACTATTATTATTATTATCACTATTATAATTTTCCTTACTTCCTTACTTTATCTTAACATAAAGCACTATTAACAAT